TAGGATGGGGCATCCACTGCCTCTGTGGGCAACCTATGCCAGGGTTTGACTACTCTCATTGTAAAAAATTTCTTCCTCATATCTGGACTGAATCTCTCCTCTTTTAGTTCAAAGCTCTTGTCCTGTTGCAACAAGCCCTACTAAAAAGTCAGTCCCTATCTTTCTTATGACCCCCCTTTAAATATTAAAAGGCAATAAGGTCTTTCCAGAGCTTTTACCTCTCAAGGTGGAAGAGCCTCAATTCTTAACTCTCTCAGCTTTTCCTTACAGGAGAGGTGCTCCAGCCCTCTGACAATTTTTGTGGCCCTCTGGACCTGCTCCAACAGTTCCATGTCTTTTGCTGAGGACTCAGGTGTGCTGTGCTGGTTTTTATGAGCATGTTCATGAGCTGAGCTGCTACGAGGCAAAACATGATCCTGTCAGTAAACTATCTTCTTTTGGTTTGTTAATTTTTTTTTTTTTTTTGTACAAATACCATCTCCAGTATAGGACATGGGGTAGTAAAGCTTACATCCTGTGCCTGGTGTCTCTTATTTGTTCTGGCACGGACTCATAGTCAATAGGACATAGCCCAGGACAGCAGTGTCACAGCAAATTTTTTTTTCCTTCTTCTCTTTAACAGATGTCCTAAGTGTCTTATACTAAATGGTATATCCACTTTGACTATGACTGTATATTGCACTTGTGGTCAAAGTAAAGGAAAATTAAGAAATTAAATTTCTTCTACTAGCTTCTATTAGCTTCTCATGGATGTGGGCAAGGCTGCTGCTGCTCCTTTAAACCTCTGTCACTCTCTTTATGGACAGCTCCTGCTCTTGTTCACTTCCGAATCCCATGTATGCCAAAATGTGCAAGTATAAGGTATGTGGAGTCACATAAACAAGAAATTGTGTTTGGTACCATCACTGGGGCTCCTCTGAGTTATCTCAGAAACAGTGTCAGTAGCATAGAGGTTGAGTGAGGGTTCAGAACAAGATGTTTGCTGTCTGCTGAGGAGGAGGAACACCAGGACCTGGCATTCAATGGCTTCTCCAGGAACAACTGATCCTCAGCACTAACTTAGGATCATAGTAGGGCTATGGTGAGTGCTCCTGGATCTCCAGAGAGAAGCATCAAATTAAAAATATGTAGTCAGGCTAATTTGTCAGTTTAGAAACTTGTGCTGAGTGAGACCTGCCTCTAGAAAGGTGACTGATGCTTACACACAACAGTGGAGTGATCTCTGTGAAATGTTAATTCAGTAAATGGGTTGTTTCAGAATTGTGAACACTTCTGAAAATATTCTTGCTGCATTTGTTCTCTCCTGACTGCTGTTCTTTTATCCACACTGTTGTACAAGTGGGAAATGTCTTTCATCATCATGGAGCAGCTTTCTGCTGTTCTGAGGTTATGTATAGAGACTGTGGAACTGGCTGAGCAGAATTATTAACTACATTTACCTACTCTACTAAAACTCCTCTACTGCTTTTGCAGTGTGCTGACCTTGGAGACAGAAAAGTCCTGCTTCTGCACTGCTGTGCATCTACACCAGTATCCCTACCCTCTGAAAGGCAGTACAATGGCTCTGTTTGGACAACTAGAAGCAGCACACGTGGATAAGCTGTCTGCCAGGCTGAGCTAATGGACTTTCTCAATAAGCCAGAGGCTGAAAAATGTGCTGTGTAGACACCAGAGTAGCTGGAGTTCTGCTGTTCTCACTGGACTCTAAAGGGCAAAACTTGGTCCCATATAGTCACATTGTGGATGTCATGCCCTGTCCCACGTCATGTGTCCACACATGAACCCCAACTGCCTTATCTAGAAGGGCTGAATCATGAGGTTGGGTTTTTTATCCTCTTTCTGTGCCCCCTTCATGCCATGATTTTGCATAATGAAGAGTTAGCTCTCCATTACATCGTGTTTTAGCCCTGACCCAGTGCTTGTTGGGAAGCAATGGACTCTGGCCATATAGAAGCTCATTGTTCTTAGAATGGGAAAGTGCTCAGGAACACCAAAATGGAGGCAATTCAGGAAGGAGCAGCATGATGGGAAGCTCAGTTCAGATGCTTCCTAGTGTGAAACTCTAGCAGCCTCAAGAGTGGGGAGTAGGTGTCTGTTTACTTCACAAAGTGCAACGTGTAGAAAACAAAGGTGGTCTTTACTGGCTGGCTGCCAGAGGTCTGATAGTCCTTTGTGCCTCCTGGTTCAGCATTGCCAGTAGCTCTGCCTCTGATTCTCTGTTGCCTTTTTTTGACGTGCAGATGGGTGATGTCTGGTTTGTACACACCTATAGTCTTTCAGCTAACTGCAAGGCATGAATGTGAGGGAAAAAGGAGATAAATATTTGTGTTACCACATCTTTGTGTCAGTATGTTATACATAAACTGCAGTCATCAGGATCACCTAATCTGAGATTAAATGTGTCTCACCGAAGAGTGCTTGGCCTCAAGTCTATAAAGGGTCAGTATTCAACATTCTGCATTTGAAGCACTTCTGAATGGACAGATCTTTAGCAGGCTACTCCACCAGCAGGGTTTTCAGCCTCCACTGAGTTTACCAGCACCACACCCCTGCCCAAGCCATGATTTCTTCCTAGGGAGAAACCCGAGGTCTCTCCATGCCATGGAAATGGGACAGGTTTATCAGTATTAATGATAAATAGCCACATTTTTGTGGTTTGACTAGTATGCAAAGATTTACTGCTGGAGAGGAGTTAATCATGTGTTGAATTTAATATTAAACCCTAGCAAGTTACTTAATAGCTGTCACCTGTGATAAATGCAACTTGCCTGCATTGCTGCCTGCACACACTGTTGCTGCTGTTTGGCAGCAACTGCTCTGAAATCTCTTAAATGGAATCTGTGGTCCTTGTTGATGGCCACAGAAAGAAATAGGTCAAAAACTTCCATTATTCGCAAATGACAATATAAAGCATCTCTAAGCAATTTTCCCATCCCATTAATTTTAATTTTTTTTTGGTCAGTATAGCCTCAGTTTGACCAGGCTGACAAACAGATCTGATTATTTTACATTTCGTCATCTCTTTTTGTCACTTCAGTAACTTACATCTACTGGCTGTGTGACTGAACATTTGAGGTGGTTTGACTTACTAAAGAGTTTTCTGGGTTCCAGACAGAGCCCCCTAAGCAGGAGATTAAGCTACATAAAATTGCATATCTTTAACAGTCTTGCTGACCAGGTCATTATATCAAGTTATTCTTTAGAGTGGACTTTGAATAAGCAGCACTTTGTGTAAAATTTTAGTACATATCCAGGTACCAGAGAACAATTTTTAACATGTTAATTTTTCTAGTGTGAAAACTATAATTTAAAAAAAACTGTGAAAACAAGAATGGAAGCAAAACAGCAACCCTCTGGACTTTCCAGAGATTTTTATCAAAAAAATTTGACTGACTTAGAAAGATACGAACTTTTAGTATAGATTTCCCACCACTTAAAAAATTCTCTCTTTTGCCTGAGTATTCCTCATGGTAAATTGGCCCCCTTGTCCTCACAAGAAGAATTGGGAATGACTCTTTTCTCACCATCTTCTATGGGACTTCTCTAGTCTTTATCATCTCTAACCTCTGTCAAGCTGCGCTAAAGCTGGCCAACAGGCTCAAAGGTTGTTGGAATGGTTGCAGAGTATGACCACATCAATCTACTTCCTGAAGTAGTATTTCATGTCTCTGAAACTTCAGCAAACTTCTCAGGGTTTACTTTTACAAAAACCTTCTCCGCATCCGGCACTCAGTACCTGCCGCTGCTTGCAAGGTCACATAAACTACGTGTGTCGTCTCCAGCATTTGTTTATAGCATATACAGCTGCATAGATGTAGGTCATTGTAATCTGATTTTATAGCATCGGTGTTATACTGTGACACTCAGATGATGTTTACTTTTCTATTCATTAAATGGGCCTATCAGAGTTGAAGGACACACTGTGTAACCTCAGGGTTCAGAGCGAGTGACTTGTCTACGCACTTATCTGTGTAAGCTGTAAATATTGAGAAATGCAGAGTATGAGTTAAAGGAAGGAGGGTAGTAGGTGGGTAAAAGCCATAAAGCAGTAGAAAAAAATCATGTGCAAGTTAATACTGGAAGTGAGAAGTGTGGATTTGTGAAGAGGAGATGTGTATCAATGAACAGCACCTAGAGGATAAGCTGTATTCTGTATTTTCTTTCTTTTAAATGGAAGATGAATGGCCGCTGGAACCAAAGATAAGTATGCTAGTCCTGGCCTGACATGATGTCAGACCTGGCAAGCCTAGCCCATGTCTCTCTGACACTGCTGTAGTTGTGAGGCCTCATGAAGCTGTTGTGTGATTATCTTGTGGCTTTTATGCCTGTTTTTGGTGTGTGACTTGGGAACAGAGAAAAATTTTCTGTGTCTTAAAAATCCTGATATTATTAATGAGTTGTTACCATGTGTGAAGAGTTGTATGTGTTGTGAGCATGTACGGTAGTTAGGAATTTTTTTTTAAATGCTGTATTTGTCATCTAACCACAGAGCAAAACCTGGTGAGCCTGTTGCTCGGCTCTCTTTCCTCTGCTAATATGTTTGAAGCAGCAGTGTGAAAAGGGCTGCGAAGAAGGCAGTTGTATCACTTTTGTGGAAAAAAAAAATCTAATCTGGGCAGAATACAAAAGGAAATAAAAAACTTGGTAGAAGGTGCTTCTTAGTGCTTAAATCATGTGGGTTTTGGCATGCTAATAATGTGAAGCAATACTTGTGGTGAAGGCACATGATGCCACAGATTGACCATCAGGGTATTTTTTTTTTTTATATGTCTGTATATGTCTATATATATCATTATCAATCACAATTGGATATGATGCTGGAAGTGGGAATGGAGCCCATATGTTAATAAAACTTTCATCATAGTGGCAACCCTACTTTGGAATTACCATTTTATAAAACTAGAACCTCAAATACACTGTGACAAAAACAGAGTCCCAGTGGTGATTGTGTTTACCTAACCATGATCTAATGAAGTTTTTCTCTGCATTTTTTCCTCTAGCAAAGTATCCAGAGATCAAGACTCTGATGGGACCTGATCCACATTTAAAGTGGATTGTATCTGGAATGGTTTTCATGCAGCTGCTGGCATGCTACCTGGTGAAAGACTTATCTTGGAAATGGATTTTCTTCTGGGCTTATGGTTTTGGGGGTTGCATCAACCATTCGCTGACCTTAGCCATCCATGATATTTCACACAACGTCGCCTTTGGGAACAAGCAGGCCAAGTGGAACCGGTGGTTCGCAGTCTTTGCCAACTTGCCGATTGGCATCCCTTACTCTGCCTCCTTCAAGAAATACCACATTGACCATCACCGGTACCTGGGAGGGGACAGCTTGGATGTGGACATTCCCACAGACTTCGAAGGCTGGTTTTTCTGTACACCCCTTCGGAAACTGCTGTGGCTTTTCCTCCAGCCTCTCTTCTACAGTCTGAGGCCACTGTATGTGAACCCCAAAGCGATTACACAGATGGAAATTTTCAATGCTCTTGTACAGTTTTCTGTAGACCTTATCATTTACTACCTTTGGGGACTCAAACCTGTTATTTATTTAATAGCAGGTACAATTCTTTGCTTGGGTTTACATCCCATTTCTGGGCACTTCATAGCAGAACACTACATGTTCTTAAAAGGCTATGAGACATACTCTTATTATGGACCTCTGAACTGGCTCACCTTTAATGTAGGATACCACATGGAGCATCATGACTTCCCCAGCATTCCTGGATGCAGATTGCCCATGGTAAGTATGGCATAAGTATGCATGAGTTAGATTTTTATAAAAGCTGATAAACTGTCCCAAAGAAAACACTCCAAATCATAGCAATTGATCAATTCAAGAAAAAAAAAAGTTAAAAAAAAAAAGAAGAAAGCTTTTTGGATTTGTTTCTAGTTAATTTTAAGCCAGATATTGAGAGAAATGGTTGTCGAAGTGCTGTACTATCTAGTTTTTTTGATGCAAACGAGAACATCTGACCCTCAGAGGGCTTGAGAAATACTTTTAGCATGATAAAATCCTCCAACAAGGCTCTAAATTTCTCCATTTACATCTCTCAGCCCAGAAGTTACAACCCCTTGAAAGTTTAAAGGCCCATCTAAAGGGAGGCAGGTGGCAATTACTACTTGAAATTTGTCTAATAATCAATCTGCTACCTATATTGCTTGATTAACATCAAAGAGAAGCTTTTCTATTTTTGAGATGACATAAGTATTGGGGCGTGTTCCAGCCTGACACAAATGGCACTAGAAAACAAAGCCCTGCTCTCCATGACTCGTTTTAGCTCTGCTGCCCCACCCACAGAAACTAAAGAGGCCTGGTCTGTCACTGGGAAAGTGCTGTGGCTTTCCTCCTTTGAAAGGCAAACCCCTTTTTGTGTATGTTTTATCAGTTGTGGGAATCAAATTTGCAAAGCCCAGGTGTCTAGGAAAGGTTTTCAATCTCCCTCCAGGTATGTAGCTGCTCTTGTGCGTTTTAATATGAGGGTTCCTCAGCAGGTGCTCACGGTGTCGGAGGTACGTGACTTCGCAGTATTACTCCTACATATAAATTCTCTGGCACAGTAGGAAGGAAACGTCTTCTGTCTCTGGGCTGATGCAGAGTTGGGGACTACTACTGCAATATCCTCATGAGGTGGAGGTAGAGCTGAGGAGTCTGAGGTTCAGTAGCTGTGACCTCCCTGCTACTGAATAGCACGTACAACTTGTGTGATGGTATATCCAAGCAAACCCTGCTGTATGGAGTAATGTTCTTCATCACAGAAATGCTGTCTGAGAGGAGATTCAAATCAAGGGGAGGTTTTCTTGTGGCATAGAAGAGAGTGGGAAGCCTCTATAGTGCCTGCAGTTCTGTTTTCATTCACCACCTTTGGTGCTGGGGATCTGTCCTGGAGAAGCTGCCTGTTCCTGGCGAGGCACAGAGCAGCTGGTACAGCAGCCCACACTCAGATGTGAAGTTCTCCTGTCAGGCACTCCCATCACTGATACACCTGATAGTTCATCTGGGAAGTGCATGGGCTTAGCTTTAGTTTCAAATGTTCAGACTTGTTAGATAGGCTTAGATACTTAGATTACCGAAATGTAAATAGAGGAAGAGAAGGAGGTTAGCTCTGTATCCTGCACAAGGGAGGTGAGTGACTAATTGAACTTGCTGGGACTGTTGCTCCAGACCTGATTGAGACCTGAAAAGCTCTTCTCCACCCACATCACAAATAGTTCAGCCTAATTCCTTGAGGCAGTGCAGCAGCTGGAAGTATCTGCCCTCCTGTGTAAAGAAGATAGACCTGTCAATGGAATTTCATGGGCTTGTGTTCCTGTGTGTTTTGCTCTTGGGCGAAACAGAGGCTTGTCCTGCTGGTGGAGGAGACACCAGACTTGTCAATCACTGTTACCTTCCAGAACTATATTGAACACTTGGAGTCTTTGACAAGTGATTAATTGCAGTTAAAAATTCTATTAAAAAGTGAAAATTCTTTGGCAAAACAGTTACTGTAGAAAATCCTTTGTCCATTAAAACATTTCTTTTCTGCAAAACGAGAAAAAAATATCTCCACCTCTTTGGTGGAAAGAAGTAAGGAAACAGATCCTTGCTGGTTAGCTTTCAACCTTGAACTCCATAACAGGTAGGAAACCTCAGTTTATTCTACACTGCTTAACCTCCCAGCAAATTCTTCACTCAGCAAAGGTCTAGTTTTTTCAGATCTTGTCTTTTAGGCACTTGAACTTGTAATAATTGAATTGTGTAATATGGATGACCTCTCAGTTAGGCTATTTTTATTTTTAATCATTGACAAGTAGAAAGTGGAATAAAGATCTTTATTTGGTTCCTGCATGATTGAGTGCAGGGGAGAAATGGGATTAGAGAATAACTGGATCTTAATCTTGGAAAGTAACTGGCTCTTCAGCTTGCTTATCAGGAAAGTAAATTCAGCTTTGTCCTTTGTTACAGGTGTGTCATTCAGAACGTTCTGAGTAATGTGTTTGCTGCTGGAAAGACCTTTACCCTAGGAGTATGACAGATTTGAAAGAGGAAGAATTAGGCTGTGCTCATAAGTTTATGGATATTAAAGATGAGTGACATGGGTGTGCAGCAAGAACTTGTCCCTCTAGTATAATAAGAGATTACACAAGAGACCATGAAATTTAACATGGTAATGAAGGACCTGCTCTAAAAAAACACCCCTATAGACTTAGAACTAAATTAGTTTTTGCATGAACTCTTATAACTATAAAAATTGCATTATTTACCAAATGATTAAAAAAGATCCATTCTTCATTATATGAAGGATTGAATATACTTATGGAGACAGGAGACTGGAGAAGGAGGAACTCACTACTGATCCTAGAAGTTGCAACAAAGCAGCAGTGTTACCGGAGGCAAACTAGTTACTCATTAAGCTTGTGGGAAAAGGAAAAGACACGGTATGAAACCAGATTTATTGGACAGACAAGACTGGAAAACATGGTAGATGTGCTGGGTTTGAATTGCAGATTTCATTAACCCTACAATGGCCAGGAGGGCTGGCTTGAGTGCCCCCCAGCCCCTGGTGGGGTTACAGGACTGTAGAGGGAACACCTGTTATATGCCTTCTAGAATTCTAAACATGATTGTACAGTTTCATGTTGTAAGGATCTCTAGTTTCTCTGTAGCCCCAGGACAAAGAGTTTGTAACAACTGTGCTGCAATACTAGGCTGGGTTTAACTCTTTTGCTTATCAGATATGATGGAGTAGGATTTGGGTCCTATCAATGTGCTCTACAAGCACAAAATCAGAAGCAAAGTTTCAGTCTAAAAGATGTGATTTCTTACCCTACCACTTTGAGCTATTTGAAGAAAAGCCTCAATATATCAGGTGCTAAGTGCCTAGTAATTGTCTTGCAGACTTTGTGATCTCTTGTTATCCTTCCCTGGTAACTTCCATTCACAAGCTAGCAATGAGTTAAGACTTACAGCTGAGATTTGTAAGGAGGAAGGGTGGGAGGAATTGAAGCAAAGGGACCATCTACAGTACACTATGGAAAGCTTGAGGAGCAGGATTTAGGAATACTTTGTCACAGTGCCATCCTCTTTTAAGACAATCTATGATCTGTCTGCAAAACTTGCTACCTGGAAATTGCCATCCTCAGGTTTTGTACTGCACCCAGAATCTGACACAGAGGGTGTCTCTTCCAGCCTCAAACATACTTAATAAATATAAAATCATAAAATCATAGAATCCTTAAGGTTAGAAAAGCTCTCCAAGATCATCGGGTCCAAACTTGGACTGAACATCACCATATCAACTTAACCATAGCACTTAGTGCCACATCAAGTCATTTCTTGAACACTTCCAGGGATGGTGACTCCACCACTTCCCTAGGCAGCCTGTTCCAATGCTTGAGAACTCTTTCAGCAAAGAATTCTTCCTGATGTCCAATTTGAATCTCCTATGAAACAGCTTGAGGTAATTTCCTCTTGTCTTGGTGCTGGTTGCCTGGGAGAAGAAAGCAACCCCCACCTTGCTACAACATCCTTTCAGGCAGTTGTGGACAGTGATAAAGGCTCCCCTGAGCCTCCTTTTCTCCAGGCTAAACAAACACAGCTTCCTCAGCCACTCCTTATATGATACTGCATTTAAAAGAGAATCTGCATTAAACCCCAATTACTTTCTGCCCTCCCACCACTCATATTTTCTGGTAGATAAGGAGATAATTCTGTTTTACATATGGAGATGCTGAAGGAAATTACAACAAATGAGATGTTTTTGTTGGGAAACTTTTGCGGATCCATTATACGAGAGAAACCACTTCTAAAATTCTTTCTTGCCACGTGAAAGCAAAATGGGAACAATTTTCCTTATCTTTTCCATAAGAAAATATTTCAGAAGTCCTCCCTCTAACTAGATTAATTAAATTTTCTCTTTTCTCCATTCCTTACTGCACTTTACCTTCTCTTCTCCAGTGTTTCTGAACATTTCATACAGTTGTCCTGGCCAGAGCACAAAGACCGTGTAAGTGGTGCCTGCCTTCCTGCACAAGGCGCTGCTGGACACAAAACCAAGCAGAGCCAAGAAACACTTCGTGTAGGTGTGAATCGCTGTCCCACTGCTGATCTGGGCTGCCACACTCCAGTGCAAGCCCCTGGTCATCTCTTGTGACCTCCTCATCCAAAACGAGCTACCACCATACTCTGTGGGAAGGCACTGAACAAGCACTCTTGAGGAACAAACAACTGCTCCACCACCTGATGCTGGCCAGCAGCTTGCCAGCCATGGCTGGGCTGCCTGCCTCCAGCATATTGTGTGTGTGAGCTCCTTTAAAATTTACTGCTGGGTATTTTGATTAATCATCCTAATTGTCAAAGAATACTTGTATTCTACATGCCTGTTTTAAGTCTGCAATCCAACTGCAGAATATGTGTATGGAATGCATCAAAGTGAAAGTTTTCAGACACACATGTTGTGTCCACCTGAGCTCTTCAGGAATATGCCCAGACTACACTGCTGTTCACGTTTGCAGAAACTATTGGGCTGAATGTAGGCAGGCTGTTTATTGGCCTCTTCTCTGAGCCATTTTTTCCTATATTGTCCCTGGGGTAATTTTTAGTTAGCCTGTGGAGCCAGAGGACACAGCTGCTGCTACCTGAGACATTGTTCTTAGGAGCTGAATTGGTTTCTACGAATCCCCAGCCTTCCACTTCCATGGGGTAATACAGAAAAACTTCATGAAGGTGAAGCTCTTGTAGTGGTCAGAATTTAAGATCAAGAGCTCTGCACAATAATGTAAACAGCTGAGAAAATATGTCTGGTTCAGTGGGCAAGAAATATATGGGGCCTTTGGAGAAAAGAGGAATTGTAGACTCACCATATGAACTTGACTAGCATAGGTGAGGGCTGAATTGCTGCTGAAAGTCAAAATTCAGGCAGAACTTCTAAAACGGAGGTAGGAGGCAAGGTCTAAGAAGCAATGTGATAGGAAATGACCCTGTCAGAGCTGTAGTAAAGCTTTTGGGGCTGGGTATCTGAGACTCTTTTTGTGTTTGCATCACTCCTACTGAGTGGCCTTCATTTGAGGGAGCTTACTGTTAAAATAGTCCTCCCTCTCATTCTGTGGCTATTCCTTTTCCCACCTGGGAAAAGGGAGGATTCACACCCAGATTCAATTATTTCTGACTGTGGTTACAGAAGGAGTACAGGGAACTAAATGTGCATCTCCAGAGATCTTACCTGGTGCCTGGAAATTGCCTTTCTTCCAATCATTGACAAATACCTTTAAGGGGAAATCCTGATATTGTCTGAATCCCATTGAAAATTAATTACTTTTGAAGTACAAAGTAATGCTTTAAAGCAGGATAGAGGAAATTATTGGGAAGTCAGAGGTATTCAGTGAAAGACAGAATACAGCCAGACCTGAACTGAATCTTCCATGTCCAGCACAGCACTACCATGCCACCAGCACCAAGAGTGTGTAGGGGCAGAGGTACAGAGGTAAAACATCTTAATGACTCTTGTACGTTACCCAACCTACCTCACAGAGGAGTGTCTGCTAGTAAGCCGAATTAATGAGGTAATTAGCAGTGAGCCATACTGGCTTATAATTTAACTTTTGCTGGGATTCTTACCTCTTCACAGTCACAATTCTGTGTTAAGATTCCACCATTACACCTCAGGTGCTGATGAGACCCTCCTGCTGGATGGCAATTTCTCTGTAAACCTTTTTATCTTCACTGGAACTCTGCACTGTGCTCAGCATAGGTGGCTTTAAAGTTCTGCTGGGTTTTTAAAGAGAGAAGTCATGCTGTCCAGCAAGACAAACTACTCTATTCTAGAGCTTTGTTTGCCTAGGAGGTGGAGCTGCAATAAAACCATGCCCAAGCAGTTAGGTGCAAGTGTACGATAGTTAACAGACTCTGCTGCTTTGTGTGTTAAAAAAACAGAGCATCTGGGTGGAGCAGGAATAATAACTGATAACTTGGGAATCCTCATAGTCCCCTGAACCCGCCAACTTTGAAACTTCTTTGTCCTCTGGTTCTGTCCTTAGTCCCACTTACAAGCACCACTCCAATGATGCACAGTGCTTCTCTGATGGCAGCAGTCTTAAGACTTGGGGATTTGTAACAGGGATGAAATTTTATTAGATTTATGATCTTTTTATGGAGAGAACAGGCCACCCCTGTGATTTCCTCTGCCTGCTGGAGGAACCTGTCTTGGATTTGCATCACAGTAGCAAAATGGAGGAAAGAAAATGAAGTGTGGGCAAGGCTGTGTCTGGTATTTTCTCAACTGGTATTTCTCTCTTACCCAGAACCCTCAAGAGAAAACTATTACAAGTGGCAGTACTAGGGCTTTAAATACAGTTGTGTTGGAGTCTTAGCAATTGGTTAGGTGGATAAGGCATTTCATTGTGGAGGTCCCACCACTTCCAAAATGAGACAAAATAGTTCTGACTGAAGGCAGCGATCCAACATCTTTCAAATTCTGACACTGTGAGGCAAAAATTACATCAGAAATCTGCAAGAAGTATCTAAATGCATTTAAGTACATCTCATTTGGCTGAACTTCAGAAGCTCACAAGCAGTAACAGGTAACTTCAGGTTATGGCTGTGCTATCAGATCTGAATGTGAAGGCTGAAACGCACCTGACGCTGTGCAACTAAACAGCTCGTTCTCTCTCTTCTTCTTCCAGGTGAAGAAGATTGCAGCAGAATATTATGATAACCTCCCACATCACCAGTCCTGGATTCGAGTTCTGTGGGACTTTGTTTTTGATGACTCTATTGGTCCTTACTCAAGGGTTAAGAGACTGTGCAAGCTGGCAAAGGAAAGCTAACGGGCTGGTCCGCCTGTGGCAGTGGGGTGTGTTTTTCATCTACATGACTTCAGTTTTCTGCAGAAATGGGAGGATCTTTGTGTGTGCTGAATTAAGGTTGGTGTATGCTGCTTAGACCAAGAGGATGAGTGTGACAATGAAGCAATTGAATGCACTATTTTAGACTACTGATTAATAAAGGATATTTGTATATGTAACCCTCAGAAGCTAGGTTAGAGTGAATTATGATAGGTGAACCTTTGGCCTAGGCTTTGAATTAACTTCCTGGGGCACATGTGCCCAAGCCTGAGTTTTGGCCTGGTCTGCAGTGGAGAATGTTTGCTGTGTGTTACATGTGACCGTGTGTGTGTGTGTGTGTGTGTGTAGTTTAGGACTGGTTTCTCCTGATGCCAGATTAGAAGTGGATGCTCTGCATGCACAGGACTGTGGAGGCAGGGAGGACTGGCATGCAGTAGTAAATGATACTCTCTGGAGAACATAAGGGTGCCTTTTGTTCAATGTCTTGTCTAATCTAATAATCTTCTGATAATTGCTAGTAACAGAGATTTTGTATATTCAATGAAATATGTTTATATTTTTGTATATTTGTATCATTATTTTAGTAGCTGCTGTTTGACCTTATTCCAGTGCTTTGTCTAAACCTTTTTGAATGCATTTCCATGAGGATCTAATACTCGCTGTAGCAAACTGACAGACCTGAACTGGGGCAGGGAGAAATCCTTCCGTTAGTCTTCCACCCGCTGCCCTGATCAGCAGCATGGATGTGCCTCTGGAGAAACTGGCTGGTCCTTTCTCATTGACCTTTTCAACCATATCCATAACTTCATGTTTCTCATCCATTTCCCCACTGTAAGCCACTTCTGGGAGTGGAGAGTTTCTAGTTTTAATTGTTCCTTGTCAAGATTTTTAGCACTCCTGATCACTTTTCTTGATCTCTATATTATACCCCTCTCTGTGCATGGGATTTAGGACGGTGTGTCAGGGAAGATGTAGAGATGCTGTGGTGGTATTTGTTCCTAACTGCTTTCATAATAATGGTAATTTTTTTCTTCTGTCATTCAAGGGGCACTGACTTGGCATTTGGGAAGCATATGATACTCCAGCTGTATAAAATTGTCACTGATGGTGTTAAGAGGATGGAATGTAAGGATGGGGCTGTTTCTTTCCCTACATCTCTTACTTGGTGCTATTGACCTTCATCTGTCATTTCTGTCATTTCTGTCATTTCTGCCAACTGGAAGACACAAATCTTTCCTGCCTGTCTTCTCCAACAATAAACTTGTGGCTATCCTCAATAATTCTGTATCATCAGTATCTTCCCAGTACCCTGGAAAGCTGGCAAAGTATTTCTTTCCTTACTAAGTGGTTAAAAGAGAGATCAGCATAGGTGCTCTTGCCTCCTAGCCCTCTATCAGTATTTTGTTTCTTCTGGAAATCCATGGCTGTAACAAAGAAACGGATTGTTGTGCAGTCTCATCAGTCTCTCAAAGTATTCAATTAGATCTGGAAAGCCTGATTTCCTCAATAAACACAATTTTTTTCCCTGCTCCAGAAGCACTGGATCCAGTGAGCCAGTCTGTCCATTCACTAGCCTGGCACACAGCCAAGCTAGCCTGCTGCAATTTGGGTTCCTCCTCCTCCATTTCCCCTTCCTCCATTTTTCTCACCCATATGATTTTGGCCAATGGGTAAATAAATACCCAGGAATGCTCAGCAGAGCAAGATCCTTTGTAATACAGGGGCTGAATACCAGTTTATTCACAGATATGGTTTTGTGCTTTTGGATAAGAAAAGGAAGAATTGGGCTTCCTCGAACACTTCAGCCTTCATGAGTTCCTCAGTGAAGAACATAGTTAAGTCATCATGTCTTAATTATTAAAGCTGCTTTTCTCCCAGAGGAAGAGTCATTGATGTAGGAACTTTGATTACCTTATTTGTATCAGGGATCCTCAGTTTTTTATTAATTTACTTCAGTGCTGCTGGCACTCTGATCACGTATTCAACTTCCTATGTCCTTAGCAGCTGTTCCTCAACTCTCCTGTCCCACTTAGCAAGTTAATATAAAAACCATAATAAAGATTATGCTATCTTCCTTGATTTGACTATTGTCCTTATCCTCTTTGATGAGTGACCTTACGCTGTAGTTCCCTTACTCAGCTGTTTCACGATGCAGTCACCTACGTGGTATACGGATTACTAGCCTAGCCTGACACAGAGGCTATGATGTGAACAGGGGCCAGCCAAAATTGTCAACTGCTTCTTAACCTGCCTCCCATCAGTATTTCTATCATGGTCCCAGCTTGCTTAGCCTGGGCAGCCCCACAGCCCTCCTGATTTGCACTGTCCATCTCAGCTGGAATTTGAAGTGGCTGGAAGCCTGCAGTGCCTGCATATGTGCAGTATGAGCTGAGTTCCAGTGTGTATGGGTGCTGCTGGAGAAGGCTGTGATCCTGTCCTCCCTGTGGACACTTGTCCTTGCTACTACCAGTAATGTTGGCAGGTGGTTTTTTTCCATAACCACAGAGCGTTTGGGTCTGGGTAAAAAGTATGTCAGGGCTGTGTACAATTTTATTCCCTTTGCTAAAAAATTGATCCAGAACTCCTTCGTTGTGTGGGCACACTAATGCTCTGGCAAGAAGGAATTATATGACAGGTCAGAGTGGAGATTAATGTCCCCTTAGCTTTCTGCTATGTAAAATGCCTCTGTTATGCCCTGTAGCAGTAGCTCAGCAGGCCCACTATGAAAGGACACCCTTGTCTACAGAGGCAACTGGCAAACCAAATTACTGTCTGGGAGGGGGAAATCCTCTGGCAGTGCCATTACTGAAAATAAGCCACCTTGTCCATCCCTGACACTGGAGCTGTAGGTCACTGGGAACCAGCAAAGTGCTTGTGATGCCAGGACTGCTCCCGTGCCCCTGTCACCCAACCTTCCCCTTCCACCCCTCGCACCTTGCTCCCACTGCTATTAAGTGGCCTTGTGCAAACTTCAGCTTATTATGTCTTAGTTACACAAGACCTGCAAAGGTGGAGGAAGAAAGTAAAAAAACCAATTTACAGCAGCTGGCTGATGTTAACAGAGGGGCACAACATATCCAGGCTGTACACTCAGCCCAAATTACAACATGGTTATTACTGACCTTAGGCATAATGCCACATTCCAAGTGAAAATGTGAACGGTGCCAGGCACCAGCTTCCTGCAGCTTAATTAGGATTATGGGACAATTTCACAGAATGGTTGTGATCTGAGAGGCAGCAGTTTTGAAAAGGGCTTGCCATCATCAGGTATGCCATTAATGGGGTTATAATTAGGAAACGCATGAGCTACTGTAAGAGATTTATACAACAGAGCGTTCTGATCTCTGCTGTTACTGATGCTTGTCTGTGTTCTTCATACTGGAGAGACTCCTTGTGGTCCTGGGGTTGCCATTCTCCAGTGCACATGGGTGTCTGTCTGCTTTAGTTCCCATGTGGAAATCTTTATCCCACTGTTTAACCTCTCTCTTGCCTTCTGCTGGCATTAAACATCTAACAAACATCAGGCTCAGTCTGCAGCTCACCACTGCATTAAACTCAGATTACTCCCGTTTCTCCCATATTTAATGTACAGCATAACCACACTGTAAAAAAGACTGATTTCTAAAAGGCAGATTAGGCTGCTTTGAAGAGCACTGAAGAACATGCCATGGTCCCCAAAACAACACAGTTAACATTTTACAGCTAACTACCAAGCACAACCCATCCTGCCTTCTCTCCTGGGTCTCCTGTAGCTGGCCAGCAGTCCCTCCTGCCTGCTGCACTGCTCCAAGAGGCCTGGGGGATGCAAGCAGGTGGACAAACATAGCCCCTCCTGGGCTGCTGCACCAGGCTCTGCTCCCAAAATCATTTCTGGGGCCTGGCTTTTAAAACAAAATCTTCATGAAAGCCTGAACAAGGAAAGGAGCTTGGAAAATATTTGACAGATTTCAGTAGCTGAGCTCCAATCTCTTGCCTTTTGCACAAAGTTTTCAAGAAGATGGTATCAAGATGACTGCCACGTAAAGCTTGTGCCAAACTAAATTAAGCAGAAATTCCCAAGATTTTGCTGTTGGAAATAATGGCTGTAAAGAAAAAACTGTATGACCTGAAAGATATGATGGGGTATGTGCTGTTAAGTGTTTGGTGTCCTGTATTCCTGTATACTTATCTTGGATAATGCTCAAGACCTGCACAAGATTAACAAATGATTTCCCTTATGCCTCTAGTCAGCAGTGTCGTGCCAGTGATTTCACCTTGCATCCTCCTAATGCCTTTGGTAGCCTTGTTCTGCATAAACACCTCCCTTTTACTACTGGAAGCCTGAAGGAGTGCAGGTGATGGGACCTGTGATGGCTGAAGATGCAGTGGGACACGTGGTCGTGGCCCGAGAAGAGCTGTAGGCCACTCTCCCTCACTGACTTTGGCAAGAAGCTGCCGAGGTTGTGGCAGCCTGGCTGCAGGAGGTGGTGCTCAGCTGGCGATGAGAGAGGGCTGGGCAGGTGAGAGCCACGTCTCGCTGTGAGAGAAGGCAGAGCTGTGGCCACTGCACCAGCCATGAACTCAGCCACGAACTCAGGTTCTCTCCTCATGCTCTGCAGCGCTGGCCAGGCAGAGTGATCCTCAGTGATCCTCAGTCACCTTCCCCTGATTGCCAACCCAAGTGACCTAAAAGTGCAGGAGCTCAAGGGACAAAAGAAACAAAGAAAGGCAGGGCCATGTGGACAATAAACAGTTTATTACCAATATGAACACAGATACTGTGATGCACTGACGTACCATTTTTTAATATTGTGATAACTCTGAGACAAAGAACTTGTTGGCTGACAACTAAACATGTCTCTCTTCTGGTGATGCCTCAATACGTTTCTGTTGGCAAAGGATCTTCATTTACATTGCAGACTACTAGTAAAATTACTTTGAAGTCACCTATCAAAAGCAAATGGTTCACGTGTGTTCTTATCTACTACTAAAAAGAAAGGTAATACATTTAAATAAGCAAATACAAAATACAAAAAAGGCTGACAAATCCAATGTGCAGTGTCAGATGAAATCTAAAAAATCCGGAAATTTAAAATTTAATAATCTTTAGATTAAGACTTTTAAAATGAAGCGAATCCAAGGCAGCAGCAAGCTTCAAAGTGTGCTGAGTCTGCTAATAAAAAGGGTGTAAGAACAAAGACAGTGCCGGTGTCCTCTCTCACCATCTTGCATGACCTTGGTACACTTAGAAATGATCCGATCTTCCTAGCATTCTTAGTACCGTCCAAATGCTTTGCAATCATTATGTTGTACTGATTCTACTCAACTCCTGCCGTATGGCTAGAAAACCAAACCAAAAAGTTAGTGCATAATGTTACATCCAGGGTGATGGAAAATGCTAAGTACAGAGGTTGCAGAAAGTACACGCTGGTAGAAGGATGAGTGGAGGGTAAAAGGATGAGTAAGGGTAAGCAGTCAGCTGTTGGCTTGCAAACTGCAGTGCTACTTTAAGAAGTTGCATCTGTGGTGTATGTGAATGCCTTATTTTGCACTGGAATGAACTAGGGAGGCTCTGAGGGCCAAGCTGCTGGGACGGGAGCTTTTGTGCAAGGGCCTCTTCAACTGCAAACTGCCCCGAGGTTTTGTGAGCACACAGGTCTAGAGAAAGGGGACAGGGAATGGCTTTTAGCTGCTTTACAGTCTCCTCTTTTGCCCTTCTGTGTAATCTAAGGTGGGGAGTACAGCATGTGGACATGCACCCTTCATATGCCCTAATGTGGGCTTCGAATAGGAATTTCACCGTGCATTTCAACAATGGCCCTGAAAAATACTTTCAGTTGTATATTGCAAAGCAATTTATAAAAAACTACTGATACATTTGGTACAGCTGCTGTATTTTTCAATGAATTATAAAAATGCATGGCTATTTGGAAAGCTGTGACCAAATGAAGGTTCTAAACTAGCTCTTCAAGCACAGAAAGCCTACAGAAGATTTTTGGGAAGGATTTTCAGTGAGCTACCTTTGTCCCCTCCTCATCCTGGACCTGTGTGGCCAGCTAGTTACAAGATTTTACGCTTGCTGACTGTGATAAAATGATGTGCCATGGGCTATGGGCAGGCTCTTTCTCACCCTCCCACCTGTGAGAAACACCAGCCAGTGAATTTCTCATAGGTTGGTGGTAAAAATGCTCATCAACAGCATAATAAAGGACGTAAACACAATGTTATGGTCAGAGCTCAGATAAGGTAGATGCTTGTTCTTCAAATGTGTGTATAAATCAGAGCTGCTCAGAGAAGTCTGAAAACACCAGGGAACTCTCTGCAGTTCCTATCATCTTATCTATGGGAAATTAGTCATAAAGATGAGAAAAATAATAATTTTTCTCTTTCTTACCATCAATTATCTCCTCTTTCACTTTGTGTAACTCTCTTACAACTTCCTCCAATATTTCCTGATGAGACAAAACACAAGTCAGCTGCTCAGAATTTCCTTCTAACTGGTGGAAGAAAATGCAAGTTTAACACGGTTGTGCTTGTCCCCCGCCTCCACTGCTGATCAGAGCCTGGCACTACTAACAGCTACTTCTGCACTCCCAGGCATGGATGCAGAAGGTGCTGGCATATTTATTTGCACATTTCTGTACACACATATTGATGAAATAGCAGTGAGATTGTGCTCTCTTGCTGCTCACCAGCTAGCCCTTCTCTAAGCACCTATTTATAGAGGAAATCAGAAGACTGAACAGCTGTTTTGCTTGTACAGCGCATGCATGGGGGAAAATGGGTAGCTCATCGAATCTCTTAAGTGGAAATGGCTTTTTCACTCACCTGTTTCATTCGATCAAAATCTAAGGCATCCATAGCCACATCATTGCTGCTGCTCACTGGTTTCATCCTTGAGAAATGCAAGAAGAGCATAAAGAACCCCAGTTAGTTCCTTGCAGTGCATGCTAAGCTACACCTACCTGATGGTGTGGAGGAAATCCACCCCAGAGCAGGAGCACCTGTGTTCCAGTGCTGGACAGGAGACTCTTTGACATGTTGCTCAAGAGCATTTGGCAGCCAGGGAGCAGCACTGCTCCCATATATGCACAACCTGACCCTCAAAGATGCTGTGAAATTTCTCCCATTGCAGACATATTCGAGGGAGCACAAAGACTGCACTGAAACGATTTTTTTTGCCTGTTGAACAATGTGTTTCATTACAGCGTTTGCAATTTGCAAGCTACACGTCTGGTTTTCTCTCAGTCTGTTTTCTGTACAGCAACCCTGTCTTGGCAACCTAGGCTTTAACTGGGGGCTAAAGTAATAGTAGGTTACAAGTTAGAAAAATATAATAGGGAAAATAATAAGCCACTAATCCTTTCCCTGGAAAACGTGACTTAGTCAAGTGTGGTTTCTCGATAGCTTTATGTATCACAGTCAGTTTTTACTGACCCAGAAACAAAGCCACTCTGGCCTTAATGACTGGTACACCTGAGTTTTATTGGTCTTTCAACATGATATTAGTCAGTGGGCTGAACTCTGATGACATCTGATAAAATAAATTAAGGAAGCAGAAGCTGCTTGCCTTTCTCTTTTAATCAGTAACTCTAGGACATTTTAAAAAACTAATCATGCTATACAAAGGCTTCAAATAACCTTGCCATCATCTTTGAGCCCAAAATGGGGGCTGGTGGAGATTCTGCTGCTCCTGAGGGTTCCTTGATCTTGCAACATTTCCTTGGGAAACCTTGACGTGTGTTCTACCATCACACAGCTAAGCTGGGAGTTAAGACAGATACAGCTGCCATCAAACTAATCAGGAACAGAAACAGGTCACCACTGAGAGCTTTAGAAATTTGCCCCACTTACCCCACAGAAATCTTTTCAAGCAAGCACTACTACTTCTGAGCACTACTTCAGGGGCTAAATTAGGAAAGCATTTTTTCCCACTGAACTCCTCCTACCCGGATGGAATAGTGTTATAGAAGACAGCTAGTGAAACATGATGGCTGCTTTCAATAGCCCTCATTTCATTCCCATTTGCAAGGAGAAAGAACAGTCTTTCTGCATCTATGTGAAACTCGTATTTTCCTAGAATCAACATATTTCACTGCTTTTAGGAGGGCTGGCAAAACTGTATTTTGCTACAGTAACACAGATGCATCCCTCTGAATGTTTGGGCAGGGCATGTTACAGCATTTGTAATACACAAGCAAGCATGTGCAGATAGTTGCCATTGGCAACTTTCTCTCCAGACTATCAGCACTATCATATACCTAATAACGTAAAATTTTGCATATCTTTGCAGTAAATGCTAAACATATCTAAGCCTGTGTTCTGCCTCCCTATTCAGTGTCCAGTAATACTGGGTGGCCCTCAACCAGCACTGGAAGCAAACCTCTCTTTAGCTGTCCAACATCAAACCTTTTCTCAATCTCTGTGACTAAAAACATGGGCGCTGATCCTGCAGCTTGGCTTTTCTGACTGAAAGGACTTCTGGAGTCCTACTTTAGGTTTTGCTGGCTTTTGACACCTGCTAGTTTTTGAACCCCATATGTCTGAATGCCTTATCTGTTGCTGCACCTTTTTACAGCTTGATTTTATTGATTTACTGCACCGAGCTTTGCTCTCCTTTCTTATGCACCCACTGCACTTGCATGGGTGGAAGAATAACTTCCCTTATCCCAACTGCAGGCTCTTCAGATCACTTCTGCTTTTGCACTTCTATTTCTGCAGAGGTTGGGCAATGAGAGCTTCACCTATTGGCAGGGTCATCCTGAAACTGCTGTAAAAAGATGCTCCAAAACCTGCCTTCCACATGGCACAGCACCGCCAAGCCCCTGTCTCTGATTCACACACACAGATGGTTTAAGCACTTGCTTCAGTGTGATTAACATCTGTGATGCCTGTGCCCAAGTGAGCAGGGGGCTCTTTCCATGGAACAAGCCTTTGACACAACACACTTTAACTTCACACTCTGTGCAGCAACAGACAAAGCACATTGTAAGGGAATGAGTAAAAGACTTGAGGGAAGACGAACATCAGTGCTGAATGACGGGATTAACCAAAGGACAAGCCAAGACAGTTAAGAAGCCAGGCTGTTAGCCAGTACCTAGAAGACACGTGGGATTGTGTGGGGCTCTTAGCTTCACAGCTCTTCGCCACTG